ATTTTTTGAGGACCCCAGGAGGTTTTTTTTATGTAGTATAAAGCATTTCAAACAGCACTTGGCACCTTAGTGAGTGCAAAATGGTGTGATACAGACTATAGAATTTTTCAGAACAGGGAACTGTGCCTCAGAATTAGCAGTAAGTTAAAGAGATGGGGCTTGATTAGGTCTAGAAAAATGTAGAATTTTTTTTTATTTAAGATTTTATTTATTTGTCGGGGGGGGGAGAGCGCGCACAAGCAGGGGGAGCTGCATTCAGAGGGAGAAGCAGGCTCCCCGCTGAGCAAGGAGGCAGATGTGGGACTTGATCCCAGCACCCTAGGATCATGACCTGAGCCAAAGGCAGACACTTAATCGACAGAGCCACCTAGGCGTCCCAAGAATATAGAATTTAGATGGATGGTAGAGTGGGGTAGGCATTCCTAAAGGAGCCTCATGAGAAAATTTCAGAGGCAGGAGTTGGCATTCTTTTTTGAGAGCTAAAAGGAGCTTGGGTCTGACTGCATCTAGACTAACAAGGAGTGAGATTACATCATGGAAGCCTTTGAAGCTGGGTTGAGGCATTAGGATCTGCCACCTGATCAGTTGAGTAACATCATAAAGATGGCCTTTGTAGATATATTGACTTAATAGTGGTATGCATTATGAAAACAGAAAGCAGCACAGTGCCCAGAAGGGAGGGCATGGTAGCTGATACTAAGGTTATGGCAAGTGGTGAAAGAATGATCCATTCTGAGAAGTTTTAAAGCAGTTGGTAAAATATGGTTTTATTGGAAGAGTGATAGAACTCTGATTCCTAAAAGCCCAGGACAAAAGTTTATGCTGGCATAAAGATTGCTGAGAAAACAAAAATGTTAAGAAGGGAACTGATTTAACTGATCTCATTCTGGGAGCACCTGAACCTCAGTAAAGAAGATTCTTCTCACTGGGGTGTCAGTATTTTACTGAAGCGGTGTGATCCCCCATTGGAAACCAGTCTTTAAGCAGTCTGCCTTATAGAGCAACTAATAGAAAAAGTGTTTGGCAGTTAGATCACTCCCTCAGCTGTATTCCCAAAGCTCTGTGCCCATACTTCAACCTTGATCCTTACCATGCTTTACCATAATTATTGTATATTCATCATCTGTTAAATTCCTGGAGTTTAGTGACCAGGTCTCTCTGTTTATTCCTATATGACTATAATAAATGCTCAGTAAATGTTTGTGGGATGAAGGACTTTGTGTCTCTGGGTGTGTGTGTGTTTTGGGTCATGGCATAAATTATATTCATCCTGAAGGGAATAGCACTGGCTTAGAAATATTTTCACTCTGATTTTTTTTTTTTTTTAATTGGGAGTTTCTTCATCTGGAGTGTCAGGATGTACAAGATTTGATAGGATAATTCCCACTCTTTAGCATCCTGTTAGAACATGGGATCCTCTCTATTCTTCTTCCCTAAGCATACAGATGATGTCATTAAAAACTCTAGTGTCAGCTCACCCTGTAATGCTCAGTGGTTAGATACAAATTGAAAATTTCTTCTCCAGAGAAAGATCTCAAACCTCAGGGAAGCACCTCCTATGATAATTTGGCCCTCATTATTCTGCCCCTCAGTGGGCTGCCCCACTGATCTTTTTCTATCTGTGTAGCAACTGACCAGTTTCAAATGACTCTCATGACATTCTGCTCTTTGGGTGCATTCTAGTAATTCTTGAGAGTTATGACATAACACAGCTCCAGACTTTCAGAATACGATTCACCCTTTCTTCACATGTCCTATTGTTGGCCTGAATGTATAGCTTTCCTTGACTGTATTGTGTCATACCGTAGTCCCCTTTGAGCCCTAAGTCAACTTGATTGGTTTGTCCCTGCACCTAAGATTGCCCACCCACCTCTCAGACTACTGCTCCTTCACAGAACTGTCTTGCACTTGTTCTTTGTTTGTTTGTTTGCTTTAAAGATTTTATTTTTTAAGTAATCTCCACTCAACTTGGGGCTCGGACTCACAACCCTGAGATTAAGAGTTTCATGCTCTTTGGACTGAGCCAGCCAGGCACCCGTTTTATGTTTTTAATGACATTCAGTTTCTTCTTTCCTGCCATTTGGTTTTGATGACCTAGTGGTGTTTGTCTGTTTATTTTAAACTATAACCCTCTTAAGACAGAGACACTATGTTAAGAACAACCAATTTTCTTTCCCAGGGAATTATATCTTATTAAGCTACCCTCATACTGGTTTGTAAAAAATGCCTCTGTTTTTTGTTAATGTGTTACATACTTTTTAAAAAATCTAGGAATTTTGCCTCAGAGAATTCCAGTGTTGAATGGGACTTTAAACATACCCATGCTTTGTTTGATTACATAGTTTGGTTGCCATTGTGGTTGATGGAAATAAACGGAGGGTGTTTGGAGTGCCCTGAAGTTCAGAAATTGGTTGTGTGTGGTATATGGTTCTTTGTATCTGGATAATGACTTAACTTCTTTGCTCGAAGAAAAAAGAATGCCACTTGTGTTAAGGGTGCCAGTACTTTATTTTATTGTCCATTTTAACAAAGTACCACATGTAATAAGAATCAGAACATAGTTCAGGAAATCACCCTGGATTTGTTTCTTCAAATATCTCCTTCATTGATATATTGATCACTATTCTTCTGTTTTCTCTGCAGGCCTCAGCTGTTGAAGAATGCTCTGCAGAGAGCAGTAGAGAGAGGCCAGTTAGAACAAATAACTGGCAAAGGTGCTTCTGGGACATTCCAGGTTAGAGGCCAAAAAGGATTGTAGAGAAGTGGTTCTTAAAAGTTTTGATTTCAGGGGGCGCCTGGGTGGCTCAGTTGGTTAAGCGACTGCCTTCGGCTCAGGTCATGATCCCGGAGTCCCGGGATCGAGTCTCACGTCGGGCTCCCGGCTCAGCGGGGAGCCTGCTTCTCCCTCTGACTTTCTCCCCTCTCATGCTGTTTCTCTCTCTCTCTCAAATAAATAAATAAAATCTTAAAAAAAAAAAAAATTTTTTTTGATTTCAGGACCTCCTTATACTCTAAAAATTTTTTGAGGACCCCAGGAGGTTTTTTTTATGTAGGTTATACCTATCAATATTTACTGTATTAGAAATTAAAACTGAGCGAAATTTAAAATATTAATTTTTTTAAAAATTTCACATTAGCATAAATAATTTTTGTGTGAAAAATAACTATATTTGCCAAAACAAAAAAATTGAGAAGACGGGTACTGTTTATTAAAAATTTGCAAATGTCTTTAATATTTTGCTTTAAGAGAAGACAGCTGGTATCTGTTCAACACATTTTGGGTTATATCTATGAAGAAAATTCACCACACAGGGCACCTGGGTGGCTCAGTCATTAAGCGTCTGCCTTCCAGCTCAGGTCATGATCCCAGGGTCCTGGGACTGAGCTCTGCGTCGGGCTCCCTGCTCTGCGGGAAGCCTGCTTCTCCCTTTCCTGCTCCCCCTGCTTGTGTTCCCTCTCTGGCTGTCTCTCTGTCAAATAAATAAAATCTTAGAAAAAAAATTTTTTTTCACCACACGTAGTAATACAGTTAGAAAAGTGTGGAATATTTTAAGATAGTTTTCAAATAGTTGTGGATATTATTCTTTGTTACTATACCAGAACTCAACAGATGATAATTTTTTTAAAAAAATAAGATTTTATTTATTTATTAGAGCTGTTGAGCATGTAGGGGGTGGGAGGGACTGACAGGGAGGGGAGAGGGACAAGCAGACCTCGCACGGAGTGCGGAGCCCAACCACCACCCTGAGATCATGACCTGAGCCGAAACCAAGCGTTGGAACAAATGATAATTTTCTAAATAGCTTTATTGAAGTATGGTTTATATATCATAAAATTCATTGATTTTTTGTTACAATTTATAATTCAATGATTTTTAGTAAATTTGCAGAGTTGTACAGCCATCACCACAATCCAGTTTTAGAACATTTTCATCACCCAAAAAGATCTCTTGTGCCCATTTGTGGTCTCTCCCCATTCTCATCCTCAGCCAACCTACTAATTGACTTTCTGTTTATATAGATTTGCCTTTTCTACACATTTCATATAGAAAGAGTCACACAATATGTGGTCTTTTTTGTCTGTCTTCTTTCACTTAGCATACTCTTGTTTGAGCCTTGTCCATGTTGCAGCGTGAATCAGTGCTTTCATTCCTTTGTATTGCCACATGGTATCACATTGTATGTGATGTATGAATCTAACACTTTCTGTTTATTCACAAGTTGATGAAAATTGGGGTTATTTCCACTTTTTTTATTCTTATGAGTAGTGTTGCCTATGAACATTTACATCCAAATCTTTGTGCAGACACGTTTTTATTTCACATGGATATGTAACTAGGAGTGTGGACTTGCTGGACTGTATGGTAAATTTATGTTGTAAGAAACTACCAGAGTGGCTGCATCATTTTACATTCCTACCAACAAAGTTGTAAGGGTTCTAGTTTCTCCATATCTTTGCAAACACTTGTTACTGTCTTTTTAAAATTCTAGCCATACTGGTGGATATAGAGTGCTATTTTATTGTGGTTTGGGTGGGCATTTCCCTAATGATTGCTGATCTTGACCATCTTTTCATGTGCTTAATGGACATTTATCTTTTCTAGTAAAATGTCTCTTTAATTCCTTTTCCTGTTTTTTAAAGTTGGGTTATTTGTCTTGCTATTGAGATATAAAAGTTACGTAACTAGATACAAATTCCTCACTAGATACGTGATTTGCAAATATTTTCTTTTAATTTGTGGTCTGTGCTTTCACTTTCTTAATGGTATCTTTTTTTTTTTTTTTAACTTCACTTTTTATTGCACTGATCACACGTCATGGATGAGAATACACTGTATAATGTTGGACTGAGAATCATTCATGTTGGACTCAGCTTTTGAACAAAACACAAAACACAGTCTCCACTAGAGCATACTAGTCAACTCTTACACATTCACAAGGTAGTCTCAGATGGGATGTTTCCTGTAGACATATGAAAAATATGGCTAGGATACGAATGTATAATGGCCACCCTGACACAAGAAGGGAGGCAAGAAACGATCGTGTGTTGAAATGATTAGCAAGTAACTATTTTATGTATTTACCAGCAATTTGAGGCAGACATGAATGAAAAGGAATACTTGGAGGATGATCGTGATAGAAAAACATTTCAACGTATCCACAGTCCAGTCAGAATACTATGGTACTATATATATAGTATAAACAACTGCTCAGTGATACTTCCATTTATTTTACTTTTAGTAATAAAAAATTCTGTCTCATACATGATTGAACACATATTTTGCTTTAAAATTAACAGTCACAATTGAAGAAACAATGGTTTATTTTTCTAATGAAATTACCAAGCTGCTGAATCTTAAGGCCTCAACAAATGTTGCATCTTATTATATTCATTTAACAATAAGACCTCCTGTTTTGATTATTCTTGGTAAATAGCAATTTTGTTTCTCCAGTTGTTTCCATTTGCCAAAGTTAGGACAGACAGTTTAATATGGTGGCTACTGCTTTCAGGGGATTCTATGAGATGAATCCTCATTTCCATCACAATAGCTGCTGGCAATCTTTGATCAAAAGTCCATCCATTAGGACTTCTCTATCGTGGTTGGCCAAGAAGTCCTGTTTTGGCTGCCAGGGCTTCATTCTGCTGAATATGATATTCCTGAAATCTCATGGATATTCTTTGTGTCATTTTTAAATATTTCTGTAAGCAATGTTCGGAACAGGTGGTCTCTTCAGGTTTTACTTCTCTTGTTGTGAAGTCTTTAACACAATCCAAAAAGCAGGTTTCTGTAAGTTTATTGTAGGTTCCAAGAAATTCCTTAAACTGTTTTATCTAATCAGATTCTGGTATTTGTGCAGCCATATTCTATTGGTATGTTTATTAGTCACCTTTTCTGATGCATGAATTTCCTTTTGTTCCAGAAAATTAGTTGTCCAACCTTTGCTTGAATGTTTCTAATGACTGATTTCTTAGTTAAGCACAGGCTCTCGCATCTGACACCAGTGCGAGGCTGGGGGCTGCGCTGCCAGTCCTCTTATGGTATCTTTTGAAGTGCAAAAGTATTTAATTTTGATGAAAGCCAGTTTATCATTTTTTAAAATTGCTTCTGCTATTGGTGTTGTAGCTAATAAATCGTCACCTAACTTAAGATCACAAGATTTACTCCTATGGTTTTTTTTAAGAGTTTTTTAAATAGTTTTAGCTCTTAAATTTAGGTCTATCCATTTTGAGTTTTGTTTGTGATATGAGGTAAGGATATAAATATTCATGTTCTTACATGTGGATATCCAATTGTCCTAACACTGTTTATTGAAAAGACTGTCCTTTGTCCACTGAATTGCCTTAGCATCATTACTAAAAAACAATTGACTATAAATGTTAAGGGTTTATTTCTGGACTCTCAATTTTGTTCCATTGATCTATATACGAATTCTTTTTTTTTTTAAGATTTTATTTGTTTATTTATTTGAAAGAGAGTGAGTGAGAGAGAGAGAGCAGGGGGAGGTGAGAACCAGACTCCCCTGCTGTGCAGGGAGGTTATCCCAGGACCCTGGGATCATGACCTGAGCTGAAGGCAGTTGCTTAACCGACTGAGCCACCCAGGCGCCCCTATATGTGAATTCTTATGCCAGGATCACACTGTCTTGATGACTACAACTTTGAAAACTTTGCAGTAGGTTTTGAAACTGGGAAATATTAAAATGTAGTTTTTTTTAAAAAATGTTTTGATTATTCTAGGTCTTGTGCATTTCTACATGAATTTTAGGATCCATTTGTCAATTTTCACAAAAAAGCCAGCTAGGATTTTGGTAGAGATTGCACTGAACCTCTATATCAATTTGGGAAGAATCATTATCTTTATAATATTGACTTTTCCAGTTCATGAACACTGACTATCTTGTTTATTTAGTAACTTTTCTCAGCAGCATTTTGTAGTTTTCAGTATAAAGGTCTTACATTTCTTTTGTTAAGTTTATTCCTAAGTATTTTATTCTTTTTCCATGTTACTGTGAATGGAAATACTTTCATTTTTAGATATTGCTAGCATATAGAAAAATAATTGATTTGTCTATTGGTAATTTTTTTGTCTATTGATTTTATATGGATTCAGTTTTGAACTCATTTACTAGTTCTGGTAGTTTTCTTGTAGGCTCCTTAGGATTTTTTGTGGATTCCCTAGGATTTTCTACATAAAGAGTCATATTATTTACAGATAAAGACTATTTTACTTCTACCTTTCCAATCTAGATGTTTGTTTTGCTTTTTTCTTGCCTAATTGCGCTGGTTAGAACCTCCAGTACAGTGATGAGAGCAGACATCCTTATCTTGTTCCCCATCTTAAAGGGAAAAACATCAAGTCTTAAGTTAGCTGTTGGTTTTTCATAGATGCCTCTTAATCAGATTGAGAAAATATTTTCCTCTTTGTTTCTTGGGAGTTCTTATTATGAACAGCTGTTGGGTTTGTCAGATGATTTTTCTGTCTCTTGAGATGATCATGTGGTTTTTGTCCTTTATTCTGTTAATAATCATGTATTACATTAACTGATTGTGTGGTAATTCTTTAAAGGTTAGTTGCCATGTAGAATCTGAGACCGTATCAGTGAACTTTCTGTATTCTTGCCTTAAAATCTTTTGGTCTTGAACTTTGAGTGGATCTTCTAACCATGCATAATTTCATAACATGATCATTTGGAAAACAGTGGTTCACTGAATTATTCAGGTTATTAAAATATTATCACATTTCATCAAACAATAACAAAAGTAACATTATATTACCCGCTGACCTCATCAGAACAATATTTAAGTACTAGGAAATTACCAGGCTCACCATGGTATAAATACAAGTGTTCTGTGACTTAAAATTTTTCTTAAAAAATTGCTTTTTATGCTTGGTAACAAGTACTGTTAGTTTTCCTTGAAGGGAGAGGATTATTTAATACATTTTCAAGAAAATGTCTACCAGATGCCCAAGTCCTAAATAACTATAGTTTATCTGTTAGTTGTTCCATCGGGTAAAAACGGGTGTTCCATGAAAAATGCAGCTAGTTCAGCTCACAACTCAATCACTGGGGGTGCTTTTCTTTGAGACCACCATCATACTTCCATATGCAGCTGACATGCTTTATGTGTTCTTCCCATCTCATCCCATAAAATATCAAAAAGACATGCACTGGGGTTGAGATTTAATAAAATAATTTTTGCTACTTCATCAAGGGCATTCCTAAGTGAAATTGACTTTTTTTTAAACCACAAGTGCATAGCAATAAAGAATACAGTAATTGTTGGTACATTTTTGTGTCTCCTCCTTGATTTATGGTAAGGTGGCAACAGTTTTACCCACCATTGCTTTTCTGCCATCAGTGCAAATGTCACCACAGTGAAAAAGGCACATCACATCTTAATATTATTATGAAAATACTTTTGACCTTGCAGATCCTCTGAAAGAGTCTCAGGAACCCCATAGGGTTTGTAGACCACTCTTTGAGAATCTCTGTTGTAGACCATACCTAAGTTTGTTCTTTTACCCTTTTTGCTTATTGGTGCTGATCTTTGTTCCCCATCCTTTTGTCCTTGGAATATGCTATGTAATTTTCTGTTGTATGATACCCTAAGTATTTATTAAACTTTTCCTTTGCTATTTTCCTTACAGGATTAAAAAGGTTATTATTTTTTTAACTACTGCATTTTTCAGATTGAGAGGAAGTATTCTCTAAAGTATCTTATTTATTGGGGCATAACATGTTAACTTGCTTATTGGTGTAGAGCTGTTACTCTGTTTGAGTTAGGGTAGCTGTTGCTGTTTTAGGTTGGATGGAGGGGTAAATGGAAAGAGGAAATATCCAGAGGAGGGTTGGGACTCCTCAGTCAGATTGAATACCTGATGAGTGGGAAGAGAAAGTCCCTAACCTGACAATTTATTGTAAAACATATCTGTGCTAATGCAGGAACTCCGACCCACCTGGTGCAGAGGAGTCTTGTCTTGACCTGCTTTGGGAGAGTGTTGTCTTGATGCTTTTCTCTTCCTCCTTGGAAAACAGCTGAAGAAATCAGGGGAGAAACCCCTGCTTGGTGGAAGCCTGATGGAATATGCAATCTTGTCTGCCATTGCTGCCATGAATGAGCCGAAGACCTGCTCCACCACTGCTCTGAAGAAGTATGTCCTCGAGAACCACCCAGGGACCAATTCTAACTATCAAAGTAAGACTCAGAGTTGTGTGCATTAACGAGGATCAGGGGAATTATCTTGTGAAAAATTTTAGAGCTCATGCTGTTAATGACAAAGCATTAAGTATCACTGTGAAAACCAAGAGGGAACAACAACTTTACAAATTTATTATTTACAAAAAGAAAAATAAATGATCAAGGCTTATCCTTAATTTACAATGTCTATTGAAGATCAGGATTTGATTTTACTTTGTTGTAAAGGTTTTTTTCATATTTGTTTTTGTTGTAATTTAGGTAAATCTTTGATTCAGAACACCTCTCAAATATAGTATCTTTTTGCCTTTCTGAATGTTTACTAAAACATCTAATTTCACCTTGAAACCAAGCTGGTGTTTTTAAATACGACTTATGTTATTTCTCATTGCCTTAAGCCCTAAAACAGAAAATACTTTTTTTCAGTAAGGTATATTTACCCTGGCAGGTGGTGATTTGAGATTAAAAGCCTCACCCTAGCAGCACCATCACATAGGGCTTAGTGAGGCTGGGTATTTTCTCAGTGAGTGACTAGCATAGGCATAGGGGTGTAGGGCAAGGAATGTGGAAAATAAGTAAGTAACAAAATGCAAACTAGACTGTATCATTTTAATTAAAAGTAATTTTGACATCTTAATAGTGACCTTTAACATATATGCAGTATGAATTTTTTAATGTTATGGAAGAATACTTTCTGGTCATTTTTTTCATATGTTACTTTGAAAACTGCTGTGTGTGACTTTTTATCTTTCCTTCCTTTCTTAAGATATGTATTGTGTTTACTGTGTATACTGACCCTTGTAGACCATTTCATTATTTTCCCTTTTGGTTGAGTATTAGAAGAGAAGATGAAGTTGGTTATTAACCTTTTCTGTTTCACTGATATTGCAGCTATTTTTTGGACACTGAATCACCATAAAATGTAGTTTTGATGTGTCTTTGTATGAAAGATGAGAATCAGTGAGGCCTTTAGAATCCATGGTATTGTTCTGTTATTTGTTGATCTTTATTGATATTCTCCTAGATGATTTTCCTAGTACAAATGGGTATTCAGTGGATGTTTGAATGGAGATGAAAGATTTAGTTTTAAGTTGGCTGTTAATCATTTTTGTGCCACTGTAAGGCAAGTCACTCTGGGCTCCTGTTTTCCTTTCTGTGAAATGAGGAACTTGACTTAGTGGTCTCTAAAGTCTCTTGCTGTGACAATTTAACATTTTCAAATTTATGGGCACTTAATTGTTGAGTGAATTATTAATCCCTTTGACCACAAAGAATTCCCTTAGCACATGTTAACTGGTATTTTGACAGGACAGTAAATTGATGTATAACTGATTGTAGTTGAGGGAATTATCAAATTGAATAAACAACTTTCTTCATATCTGAATTTTTTGTTCAGTGCATTTGCTGAAGAAAACTCTGCAGAAATGTGAAAAGAATGGGTGGATGGAACAGATCTCTGGCAAAGGATTTAGTGGCACCTTCCAGCTCTGTTTTCCCTATTATCCCAGGTAAGTAGCTAGCCCATAATGTGAAATGTTGGCCATTGTAATTTAAAATCTGATTCTAGGTTACAGGCTTGGGCTTAATTTATTAACTTATTATTGCTCTACTTGAAAATAAAGACTACTTAAGGCAATATTGGTTTTTTGGGGTGGGTTTTTTTTTAAGGTTTATTTATTTATTTTAGAGAGAGAGCATGAGCAGGAGGGGGAAAGGGAGAGAGAATCTCAAGCAGACTCCCACAATGAGCATGGATCCCGACTTAGGGCTCAGTCTCATGACCCCCGAGATCATGACCTGAGCCAAAGCCAAGAGTTGGATGCTTAACTGACTGAGCCACCCAGGTGCCCCTACCTAAGGCAGTATTGTGTTCGAGTAAAAGCTTTTCATGTAAGAATGGGGGGATTTTGGCTATCCTGCCAGAGTTTACTGTTAGCCATCCATTCCTAAAATCAAGCATTGAATTCTTTGAGATCTCTGGCCATTTTTATGTTCATTCCTTCTTTATTAAGTAAATGATAATGACAAGAAGATTATTAGAGGGTTAGGTATGTTTTAATTGTCCATCATTCGGGGCACCTGGGTGGTTCAGTTGGTTGAGCATCTGCCTTTGGCTCAGGTCATGATCTCAGGGTCCTGGGATCGAGTCATGTGTCAGGCTCCCTGCTCAGCGGGGAGTCTGCTTCTCCCTCTCCATCTGCCTCTCCCCCTGCTCCTGCTCTCTCTTACTCTCACTCTCTCTCTGTCTCTCAAATAAATAAATAATCTTTAAAAAAAAATTGCCCATCATTCAAGGAAGGAGAGCATTGCATTGGCTGCTTCCAAGAATCCTAATTTGCCTTCTCCATACTATAGAGACAGGGCCATTTCCTTGAAAACTTTTTATCTATACTTTATTATTGCACTAAAAAATACATTGAGCACCTCCTATGGGCCAAGCATTGTCCTGTGTACCCATGCAATGGCCTTCTTATACTTTCATTTCTAGTAAAGTGCCATGACATGTACCACTAAAACCCTATTTTAGCAAGAGTATAGTGTAGTTTCTTCTATTGTACCTTGTGCACAAGCCTAGGTAGGTGTTACTTGGTTGGTTGCATATTATTTGAATTTTTCAAACATTAAATTCTTAAAGTCAAGCATATAAAATGTTATAATTTGGGGCATCTGGGTGGCTCAGTCGTTAAGCGTCTGCCTTCGGCTCAGGTCATGATCCCGGGGTCCTGGGATCGAGCCCCACATCAGGCTCTCTGCTCAACAAGAAGCCTGCTTCTCCCTCTCCCACTCCCCCTGCTTCTGTTCCCTTTTTTGCTGTGTCTTTCTCTCTGTCAAATAAATAAATAAAATCTTTAAAAAAAAATAAAAATAAAATGTTATAATTTAAGGAATTATTAATCAATGGGATCAAGATTTTTATCAGTAAGGACAAAGAAAATTAGAAAATCCTTGCTGAATTTCTCTAAAACTTTGAAGAGATTCAGCCTTTATATTATTTCGAGGTCTTTTGCCAGTATTCTTAGGGCAAAAAATGTACTGCTGTGCAATCTGTTTGCTGCCTTAGACAATTCAGTGCTATATATATATTCAGTGGCTAATACAGTGCTGGCCACACATCAGGAGCTTAAATAATTGTTTAGTAAGTCAATGATTAAGAATTAATTTTATTAAATGGCAGCAGGAAGGGAATGAGGTATGGCCTGGGACTTTTATAGATTTGTTATAACTTTGTGTGTTCAGAATAAGTTAAACTGTAACCTGATACTTGTAACATAGCATTTGGAAGGGCAGGAAGAAGTGGAATGTCCAGGGAAGAACAGCTAGGTTCACATTTCTCCCTTGTCCTGTGTGGGACTTCTCTTTGACCTGATTTTACCTAATTTTTCTTTCCTTCTTTCTTTCATAGCCCAGGAGTTCTGTTTCCAAAGAAAGAGCTAGATGATTCAAGAGATGAGGATGAAGAGGAGGATGACTCCTCAGAAGAAGACTCTGACGATGAAGAGCCTCCACCTAAGAGGAGGTATGGATTTGTGGGAGGCCTTTCTACCTTAGAGCTAAAAGTGGCAGTAATAGTAATAGCGACTTAATTCAAGATGCCTCTCAGAAAGTTCTTGGTGTAACATTTAACTTGTCTTCTTGGAAATTCAGGGACTTTGAACTTAGGGAGCCCTGTGAATATGTAATTTACCGTTTGGTAAATACTGTATGTATATCCATAGTTTGTTGGTTATCCGAAGAAAAATAATCCCATATTTCCTTCGTAAAAACATCATGAATTATGTATAGACTTCAATGAATTGGTTGAATTTTTATACAATTTTAGTAAAGGCTCTAGTTAAAAATAATCACATTCCTATCCTTTACGTAGGTGACTTTTTATCTGTGCTAGATCTTCTGTGGCAAAATATCTGGTCATCCTGGCAAAGTGAATCTCTCAAGTACTAAGTGATGGCCTTTGTTCTTTGGTTCTCACAGGTTGCAGAAGAAAACCCCAGCGAAGTCATCTGTGAAGGCTGCATCCGTGAAGCAGAGAGGGTCCAAGCCTGCACCTAAAGTCCCAGCTGCCCAGCGGGGGAAAGCGAAGCCCCTGCCCAAGAAAGCCCCTCCCAAGGCCAAAACTCCTGCCAAGAAAGCCAGACCCTCATCCTCAGTCATCAAGAAACCTAGTGGTGGCTCTTCAAAGAAGCCTGCAGCCAGTGTGAGAAAGGAAGTGAAATTGCCCGGCAAGGGCAAATCCAACATGAAGAGATCTTTCAAAGCAAAAAAGTAAATTTTATAGGGAAAAAAAAGGGTATCATAAAATTCAGAATCTTATTTTCTAAGGTCAGTGTGCATTTGTTTTAGTTTTGATGCTTTTAAAATTACATTTTTTTCCCTCCCCTATGAACATTGTGGGGAGGGAATATAAATAAACCAGTTTAGGCATTTGTTAGCTTTAGGTGCTGTTCTTGGTGCCTGCCCCTTCCCCCAGTCATTTTAATTTCTGCTATAACTCTGGATTTTCCTGAACTGTATAATCTACACTTGTCATTTTTTCTCCCTCCACCCCAACCCTCTTTTATGGTCAGCTTTGGCTTTTTTTTTTTTCCCCTTCCAGCTTTATCTAAACAGTTGCAAAGATTTTTATATTTGTAGAAAGCATCAAGAATAGGATGCTGGTCAGGTGCTGGAAATAAAAAAGAGGCAGTATATAGCACTGACTGAATTGTAAAGCTTTCTGCCTGGAGACTCCAGTTATAGCTATAATAATTAATCTTATTTATGAAACCACTCCACTAACCCTCTCTCTCCAATTATATAAATACAGAGGCATCTTAGCTTTGGGAATAAGCCAAAAAAACGTTATCATTTCATGAAGTTCTGAAGACCTGTGACTCCTTTGGGCTACTTTCACATTGGTCAATTTCCAGGTATTTTTCACTGGCCCAGGGCATTGTGTTCCCTCAACCACAAGCACAAATTCCCTCCACATACTTGATTTTTGACTGAAGGGGAAATACAGGAATATATTGAATTTGTGATTTCTGGTGTCACCTGTGTACCAAAAACCAAAACATAAAATCTTCTTGATCAAATGTTTAAATATATTTTTTAATATTTGGAGCATTGAGTTGTCATTTCCAGTTTGCCTTTTTTATAAGGAAATGTTGGAGAGTTACATCATTGCTAATGTAGAAATGTTAAGGTGGAAAAACATACAATTTGCTAAAATAAACTAAATTCCAGATTCATCTGTGGGTTTTTTCCCCCTCCTTTCTTTCCACAGCACTTTTGATATCAAACAAGTGGCTTCCTTTTTGGGATATTTAAAAAAAAAAAAAGCAAAGAAAAAAACAAATGAAGCCCGACTACCTAACCCTTCCTCATTTGTATTTGTTTTAGTATCGTGCAGTTGTGTTCAATAGTACTAGCTTTCTACTTGGGAAATACTGATTTCCGGTTATCATTTACCCTCCCTGTGGCACTTGACATTTTAATTGTCTTAAACTTTTTGGTGTATACCTTCTGGCCCCTTTGAGTGCTGCCAGAGGCAAAAGACATTTGTTTGATTCATTCCAATTGGATTGTCTCCTGGGATCTTATCTGCAGCCTCACGGTGCGTGGCTGCGAACTGGACTGGAGAAGATTGGCTTGAAGTAGATCCATAATCATGTGTGATCCCATCATGAGCTCATTGGAATCTGTGTTGCATGTAAGGCAATCTTTCCTGTTGTAAATCTTCCTTTTTTTATGTACATATATTTTGAAAAATATGAATAAACATGAAATTTTAAAGCTGCTGAACTGTAGCTTCTATTTAAAAATTTCTAGTATATCCTTAGAAGTAGCGAAGTTGCATTCACTTGAGTCTTTTCTACTCCTTGCAATAGCTGCCATCCATTTTCCTTTTTATTTTTTTAATTTAAAAAAAATTTTTTTAAAGATTTTGAGTAATCTCTACACCCAGTGTGGGGCTTGATCTCACAATCCCAAGATCAAGAGTTGCATGCTCTGCTCACTGAGCCAGCAGCACGCCCCCATCTTCCTTTTAAACACAAGCTCCAGTTTATGTGCTTTTGAATTCTTTATATGGATGGCAAGTGATGTTTCTAGATATATTGAACCTGGTTATTTAATGAGTAAGAGGTTTAAAAAAAATCATGCATTTTACCAAGGTCCTTGTTTTCAAGATCATGGATTCCAGTTTCTTATGTTTAATGTCCACGTATATCCTTGGGTTAGGAAAAAAAAATACAATGCCAAAGGATTGATAAACCCCACAGACCTAATTCTATTTTCTTTCTTTTTTTTTTAAAGATTTTATTTATTAAAAAAAATTTAAAAAAAAAATATTTTATTTATTTGACCGCAAGATAGTACAAGCAGGGGGAGCAGCAGGCAGAGAGAGAGGGAGAAGCAGCCTCCCTGCTGAGCAGGACCCTGAGGTCATGACCTGAGCCGAAGGCAGATGCTTAACCAACTGAGCCACCCAGGCGCCCTAGACCTAATTCTATTTTCTATTAAGCTATTTGGCAGGTAATAATTTCTTAGTATGGGTGTTGGGTACCTCGGCTAAGAATTCTCTACTCTTCTGGGGTCAAAAGTTGGAGGATTTCGGTTGGTTTTTTCGTTTTACGATACCACTTTTAAAAAGATAACCGAAACAGTCACCTGGTGGCTATATTGTACATCAGGTGCTCCAGCATCAGGTAAGAACTTTCGACCAAATCATCTGAGATCCTTTCCAACTCTGACATTGTGTTAACTTCACAAAGTTCGGGTAAGGACAAAACTGTCCTTGCTTCAGAATCATGTAAAGGGAAAAGACAAAAGGGTCACTGTACTCTTCAGTGAAGATCCCCATCATCAAAGACATGTACCTTACTTATGTTGAGATAAAGGAATGTTTGGATTTTTCTCCCTTCCAGGCATTCTGAAGGAGCAGAACACCTAAATTTCACTTCCATGTTACAGAAAGGAAAACAAACTCAAGAGGTAATCCCAGCAGCTTCTGGCATGGACCAGTGGCTTCAGTTCTGTTAGTGACTTACTGAGTTCATTTATAGTGTTTCATGTATTCTTTTTTTTTTTTTTAAGATTTTATTTATTTGAGAGAGAGAGAATGAGAGACAGCATGAGAGGGAAGAGGGTCAGAGGGAGAAGCAGATTCCCTGCTGAGCAGGGAGTCCGATGTGGGACTCAATCCCGGGACTCCAGGATCATGACCTGAGCCAAAGGCAGTTGCTTAACCAACTGAGCCACCCAGGCGCCCATGTTTCATGTATTCTTAAACCACCTACAAACTAGTTTTGGTAAATCTCAGAATGTACTGGGAGAGAGATTGTCAGCTTTTTAACCTACAGAGAAGGAAGAGCTACCATTGCAAAAAAAAAAAAATGTGGAGACCTTTTCTTAGTAATATGATAAAAGCGTTCAATACGGGTTCTACATTCACACGGACTTAGTTAAAGGAAGCCTGGTCCAATATAAATCTTAGTAGATGTATGTTTTAATCACATCTTTTGGGTATAATTAACCAGAAAATTACATGAAAACAAGAGGTAGGTAATATGCCAATACCTTTAACATTTTTTCCATCATTCCTATCTTACAAAAGTTTGTCAGCCCTAGTCTAGGTTTGCTAACCGATTTTTGTACCTACTGTAAAGAACCTATGAAATTCTTCTTGCTCATACTGTGATAACTCTTGCCATCCTGATGGATCAGGAAAAAGAGGTTCTGAAGCCAGCCATATTCATAAGCTGCTGTATTTAGCCAACTAAGAAAAACTTTAAAATTTTAGGATTATTGTTGAGATTTCTCCTCTTTGAAACCTACAAAATTATATTAATTTATTTCTCTTTGGGTTAAGCAAAAATTTTAATTTTTCCATGACAAGAAATTCTGTTCTTAATTGGAAAAAAGATCATTATTAAGCTATTCCCCCAGAGGTTCTGATTGACATGACTTCCCAGCATGCAGAGTTTGTTTTGCATTTTTGTGGTAGAACAGATGGCCACTCGGTTCTGCAGAGCTGAAGCTAAAGAACCAGAACTGTTGAAGCTCTTGGCTTAGGAAATGCTTAAAAATATGCCTAGAAGCCATGAGAGATCACTAGCCGGTATCCCTCCGCTGCACTGAATTTGCCTTCCTTATGAAACTAATCGCTAACATTCTTTTTTCTATATTATTTCCTTCTATCATTTTCCAAGAGATTCTTCACTGGTTTTTCTGCTGGAGAAATTTCCTACCTTTGATTATTTAAATTTATTCGCTTAGTCTGAACTGTTCCTAATCAGTTTTCGCAACGACTGGTATGTCGAAGCTTCGAAAGGTACTTTCCCAAGTCATTTTCCTCAAAAATTGCAATTCTCTTTCTCTTGATACTGTATATAAGTGTGTAATTAACACTATTTGCTATTAAATCTTTGCTTATGGTGCCTTGAATGTTTGATGAAGTGTAGTTATAAATATGACAACATAAGAATAGTGACAGTAATAGTGAAAACTAACTGAATTTCTTCTACAAGTCAGGCTCTGTACATACATTCTCTCATTTAATTCTTGCAACCCTATGAGATGGTGATTGTATATTAACCCCACTTTACAGAAGGGGAAACTAAGGCACAGAGTGTGGTTCAGAAACTTGCCCCAGGTCATAGCAAATGGCAAAGCCAGAATTAAACCCAGGCTCTCTGCAGAGCCATGTCTAGCTGCTCTGCTCTGGTGTCTCCCATCAGCAGTTCTTCAGGCTTCTGAATTCTCCTATCCTGCAGCCCAGGGGACTCTGTGTTCTGTTCGTGGCAAACAAAGGACTTTAGAGAGGATTTGGAAATGAGATGAAACCTATTAAGTTTGCTTCTAGAAGTTTGCTTAAGAAGTCTGATAAGAACTATTACAATTAGGTCTCGGACTCCTCGGGAATGTTGTCTAGGCCTCCCTAAGTTGTGTTTTGGACACTGTACAAGTGCTTGGACATTCTCAAATCCTAGCCTTGGGACATGTTCTGGTTTCCCAGTTGACTTACTACAGGCAAGTTCTTTCAGTTCACAGGATCCTGATGCTTGTGAGAGCTTTTCCTCCAAGAACCGCAGCTTCTATCAGAACTTTGACTTTGCTGAGTAAGCAGCTCTTCCCCTCTTTATAAACTGTAAAGTTGTACTTCAGGAGGCCTACCAAGAGCAATGCCAAAGGGAGACTGACAACTGAATCTTGTGGACAGGATATCTGCTTAGTAATCATGAGCTGGGATATTAGTAATCCTTGCTTTTAATACTCATGATTCTGAGAGAAACCTTAGTCACCTGGTTTCCCCTGCTCTCTCTGCTTTGTTTGCCCCCAGTAACAACAGATACTCTTTCCTAAACCCCAGAGTTACACAGCATCCTTGCTCATCCATTTTACTGTTTAAGAACTTTTGCTCTGATGAAACTCTTCTCATGTCAGACCTAAATCCCTTACACTGCTTGTTTGTGTAACTGAACTTTGCTGGTGCAATATATAAAATAAATTTTTTATCAATTCCCAACTGAAATAGACCCCTGACTAGAGTGCATCACTCAGGCCAGTACCCTAACATCCGTAGCTGTGGTCCTTGGAGGCTGTGTCACTTACCAGCTGTGTGGCCTTGGCCAAGATGCCTCATCTCCCTGAGCTTTCATTTCCTCGTGTGTGAAAGAAAGGTGTTTGGGGCGCCTAGGTGGCTCAGTTGGTTAAGTGTCTACCTTCGGCTCGGGTCAGACTCTGATCAGCAGAGAGTCTGCTTCTCCCTCTCACTCTCCCTCTGTGCACGCACTCTCTCAATAAAAAAATAAAGGTGTTCGAATCCACAGTTCTTGTTTATTTTAGAATAACCACCCAAAAGCAATGTGAGATAATCACATGTCAAAGAACTGAACCATGTTCACTACACTAAGGTTACTAAGGCATTTTAGAATTTTAGGAAAGACTTTTTTTTTTTAAGATTTTATTTATTTATTTGACAGAGACACAGTGAGAGAGGGAACACAGCAGGGGGAGTCGGGGAGGGAGAAGCAGGCTTCCCATGGAGCAGGGAGTCCGATGTGGGGCTCAATCCCAGGACCCTGGGATTATGACCCGAGCCGAAGGCGGACGCTTAACAACTGAGCCACCCAGGCGCCCCGACTTTTTTTTTTTTAATAAATGAGCTAGAATATGTAATTTCACAAGAGTTCAGCCTTGTTTAAATTACCATTCACTGTAGTTTCCTATTGCTAGGCACTGTAATCACACTATCTCAAGTCCTCACAAATATATTCTCAAAAGATGTGTGAAATGAACCTCAATTTGCAGAAGCAAACAAATTTAATTTTCCCCAGAT